ACAGCTATCAAAATATTAGAAGACCAATTTGTCATATAGTAAGATTTTTGCTTCTTTATTAACATATTAAATAGTAAGATCTAGCATCTGAGATAATAGTGTTGTGGTTAAGTGCCGTTGAGTCATTTCTGACTCATAGCGACTCTGTACAGGGTTTCAAAGAGCAGCTGATGGGTTTGAACCACCAAGCTTGAGCTCAGCAGTCCAGGGCTGATCCTACATTGCCACACTATGAATCCAGAGCTAATAGTAGAAGGAGTGTAAACAATATTTCAAGATATTTGCAATAGCCTTAATGTGATATGAAAATATCTGTGATTTTTATTGATGACAAACTCACCAGTATTTACCAATAATACTACCGGGACTTGTGAACTATATTTATTTTCGTTGTTGTTGTTGGTAGGTGCCAATAGGCTGGTTCTGACTCGTAGCACTGACCCTCCAGTTTACCAAGCATGATCTCCTTCTCCAGGAACTGGTGCTTCCTAACAGCATGTCCAAAGTAGCATTCTGGCTGTACTTCTTCCAACACAGATTTGTTTGTTATTTTGGCAGTCCACAGTACTTTCATTATTCTTTTCCAATACCATAACTCAAATGATCAGTTCTTCTATAGTCTTCTTTATTCATTGTCCAACATGCATATGAGGTGATTGAAAATACCATGACTTGTGTCAGAAACACCTTAGTCCTCAAAGTGACATCTTTGCTCTTGATGGCTTTTAAGAGGTTTTGTACAGCAGACTTGCCTAATGCAATACGTCATTTGATTTTTTGACTGTTGCCTCTATGAGTGTTGATTAAGGATTCATGTATCTTTATAATTTAAGAAAATGATAAGTTTCAATTGACAGTAAAACAAATATGTAAATTGCCAGGCCTCTAAAATTTATTCACAGACTCCAAGTCAAAGATTGCTACCCTAGTATCACCAAAGAAGCACATTAATTTTGTTATTTAGAGTAGGGGTACATCTGATATTTCAAGGCCTTAGCAATTCATTTGGGTAGAAAAACTGGACCCTTATCGTGTAAAGAGGGGGCTTAGAAGTACGTAGAAACATGACATGAAACCCAAAAGACATGGCCCCAAAATGACATAAAATCTTGAATTACATAAAATTTGAAAACAAATATGACTTTTCCAAAAGCATAATGAATGAGGTTAAAAGCAAAGAACAGAATGAAAAAAATTACAGAATAATAATAAAGAGTTAGTGTGTCCTTAATACAGAAAAAGAGTGGCTATAAATAAATAGGAACTAGAAAAGTGGGCAAAAGATATTAGTCACTTCAAAAAATAAGAAAGTACCCCCCCATCCAAAAAAAAAAAAGCTAAAGAGGATAGAGAGAAACACTGT